TAGGTTAGTATCATCTAGCAGGCAATGCCTTATTTAACTAGCTTTTCAGTTACACTTTTTTGAGTTGTGCAATTATTCTGTTTTACGGTCATACTTGAGTTCATGTTTGGGTAAGTTGGTCAAAATTAGCACCTCTCATTGCGCTTCACAGAGCTGCTTTAATTTGTAGCTGAGGCCAGATGAGGATCTACTGAACTGCTTCTCAGCAGTCCACCTCTTACTTCAAACATACCATCTAACCTTCATTTTCCATATAGCTATTTGTTAGAAAAAAGGCCACCATATAAACACAGCCCAGCATTACAGTGTCTGTGGTACAACAGAAGGTATTTGCAAAATTAAGGGAATGGTAAAAACTCCAAATGATTAGGACAAGGCACAATAAATTAATGGGAAATACTTACAGTTTAGCTCCAAATTTAGGGGTGAGAAGAATCTGTTGCACATCAGAGATGAAAAGAAATTACACAAATAATGAAAAAAATTGCATAGTAGTGGACTGTTAAATATTATTACCCTACCAGGCGCCCAAAGTAATATTAAGAGTTGACTATATGTGGCTTTCTGTGAATGAAAAGCATATGGGTTAGAGGAAACACGGACCTACTGGCAAGAGCATGGACCTACTGGAGTGAGTCCAGAGGAGGGTCATGAGGATGATCAGAGGTCTGGAGCACCTCTCCTATGAAGAGAGAGAGTTGGGGCTGTTCAGCCTGGAGAAGAGAAGGCTTTGGGGAAACCTTCTAGCGGCCTTCCAGTACCTGAGGGGGCTACAAGAAAGCTGGGGAGGGACTTTTGACAAGGGCAGGTAGTGATAGAACAAGGGGTAATGGCTTTGAACTGGAAGAGGGTAGATTTAGATTAGATATTAGGAAGAAATTCTTTCCTGTGAGGGTGATCAGACACTGGAACAGGTTGCCCAGAGAAGCTGTGGATGCCCCCTCCCTGGAAGTGTTCAAGGCCAGGCTGGATGAGGCTTTGAGCAACCTGGTCTAGTCGAAGGTGTTCCCACTTGTGGCAGGGGTGTTGGAACTAGGCGATCTTTAAGGTCCCTTCTAACCCATACTGTTCTATGATACTCACTTAAAGTTACCAAGTTTATGTAAATAAAGAAAACAGATATGATAGCATCTTAAGAGCAAGATTGTCTAAGAATAAAGCAGGCCAGAATGGTTCAGTAATTCCCAAGCTGCTGGTTGGGACTGATTGTGCTGTTTAAACGATGTGTCTCGTAGGTTACTAATGTGAGCAACAGTCTGCCTGCTGCATTTTAAATTACTAACCACTACCAGCCCATTGTTTTATGTGATTCCCCCTCTGAATAGATCTATTTATTCATAAATAGCTGGCTGTTCAGTGAGTCTTCCTGTGCTTTGTGGTACTCACTAAACACTGTATTTCTTTAGTCAGCTCCCTCCAAACATGATCTGTAGAAGCTTCTGTGAGCCTAATTCAGACATAGCAATATTGGGTCACTATTGACTTGTGAAGCCTGAAAGATGATCAAAAATCAGTCACTAAATGTTGCAGGTGGTCACCAGACCTCTGTTAAAAGCAGAAGGGCTACAGGAGTGTTTGAAGAAGCAGGAGGGATAACACTGCAGCTGAGACAGGCTCCACTCAAGGTTGAGGGCTCTGGTTCAAAACTGCCCTTGGGGACACGGCTCAGTTTGCCATAGGCTACCATCAAAGCCATGGCACCAGCACAGTCCAAAACTGACTGCATGCTGTAAAATGCTGTTATCTGAGGTAGTTTCCTGCACTGCAGGTCTCACTGACTTAATAAAAAAAGGTTACTTTCAGCAAATGAACACCTCCAGTGAAGCGATGGATGCACTGCAGAGATGAACTGATGCTCTCCACAAATGCTACCACAGCTGAACATATTTAAACCAGCAACAAGTGACCTGCACGATGTTAGTGGTGTAGGCAGCAGTGGTGTCAATGAAGCAGAGATGCTGGAGTGGAGTATCTGACCATGGTCTCCCTCTCTGTGCAAGGGCAATGAGTACTGTGCCAAGTCCCATGGACCAGGAGCAATGACAGGGCACCCAGCAGCAAGAGGCCACCTCTCCATCACACCAGGCAAGGGGATAAAGGCAAGAAGAAGGATTCATTTCTCTTTTAAAAACAAGCATTATAGTTATTCTGATGACTGGAAGGTGACGAAGCAATCATAGTAGTGACGGGAAGCTGCCAGCTGACGTTTGTGATGTTGTGACACCATGTCCAAATCTGAAAATTTCATCATGCAACACCACTCTCAACCATGGGATCATACCAGGGGAAAAAGTTCAGAAGACAAACCTCACATCCTGGACTGAAAAAACAGGGGGCATCACAGAGCTGGAAAGACTAAGGACTGATGCCTCTTTTTCTCTCTTTCACTTATGTCCTGCATTTAAACAAGAGTTGAAGGCTTTGTAAGATGAAGACTTCAGCATACAGTGAGTTTCTGAGCAGAATTATTACCTCTGGTGCCTGGAGCAAAAGTGCCCCTTGGGATGTTTGACGGATATAATGTCTGACTTCATGATGGAAACAAAAGAAGTCCTCTCTATGGCAGATTTAGTCTCTTGAATTTACTGATAATGCACTCTCCTCCAATAAATCAAAATTTCACTTCACCCACTCAGATGTCTGTTCTGTACACTGCTGACATACACGGAAATCCAAACCTCCCATAAAAGCAAAAGAAAATGTAAATTATGTTCTGATAAACAAAGAGAGACTTCAGAAGAGGGGAAAGAGCCTTGGTTTACATTTAAAATGAGCTCTCTGAAACACAGTAACAGAGAGTGAGAGAGATGTAAAGAGGTACCAGCGCAGGGTAGTTCTGCACTAGGATTTTGATATGGGGGTTAGTTTGCACTCTGGTAAATCCTCCTTGCCTTTGCCCTTGCAGCCCAACAAACTCACCGTAGAGAACTCACATTCAGTGCAAGGTCACCCTGAAGAGATCTCCCCCTCCCACGCCTCTTGGCAATACATACTGAAATGTCATTCTGGCCTTCAGAAAACAAATTTTCTCTGTTGGAGCATAGGGTAGGTGTGATCCAGCTGGCTGAGTGGAGGCACCTGCCTCAGAGCTAGTCCTTCATGCTAAGGGGTGAGGAATGGGCACCTACAGGACAGAAGTCACCTGCCACTGATGTAGACATTTACATTAGGGTGGATTAATTGTCCCTTAAAGCACTTGTTTATCAATATGGACTGTGGTGGGAGGCTGGGCAATATACTGAGGTAGGGCTATCTGCAGGGCAGTTAATGTCAGCGTGGTGGTTTCATTCGGCTGGCAGCCAAACACAGTCACTCCCTCACCCCCCAGACTGGAGCAGCAGAATCCTCACTTTGCAGTTAGTGAGAGAAAGTCTGTTCATGGGGGAAGGGAGGGGGAGGGAATTCTACACAGGGTGAAAGTGCTTTCACTCCATCCGGATAAGCATGGATATGCTGCTGACTTTTGCCAGTTGGCTGAAATTAAGAGGAGTTGAAATGAAGCTGGACCTTTTATAGCTTTTCCAATTTAGGCTGGTGAGCATGGGATGGAGCAGGAGAGGGAGGGAGGGAGGGGATGCCGCACTTATAGCATGATAGCCTATGTGTGATAAGGATGGTGGAGAATAAAAGAGAAGTCCTGGTCCATGCCCAGTTTCCCTGCCCATGAAACAGAGCACTTAGACAATTGCAGCCCGTGGTTCCCAAGGCACCGAATCTGACATGCACCCAGCAATGAAACCAGAGACACTGGCCCCTTAGGCCAACCTTATCCCACCCAGAGGGAGACCCAGTCCACATGTCTTCTCAGCTACATAAAACTCAGATATCTGGTCTAAGGTAACCACCATGGCTTCCTGGAGAAAGCCTTCCAGAAGGCTATCAGCTCACCTGTTTCAGAGCTTGTAGGATGGAGTATCTGCTATCTGTGACTTCCTACAGCTTTTCTGGCTCTTATTCACCCCATTTACTAAGGAGGATAAATTCCTCTAAATGAAACTCAGCAAAATTCTGAGAGCAGTTTGAATTCCCCTAACAGTTCAAAGGAGGTTGAGGGCAAATTTAGCCCATCAACCCACAATGCTGTAATCCCTGCTTGGCAGGGAAACCCTCTGCTCCTTCCTCTTCTCCCAGTCCTTGCGAGGAACCCAGGAGGTGACAGAGGCTGCCCAGTGCTCAGTGAAGGTTTTCAGGAACTGGAAGCTCAAACATACAGCACAGATTGAGGGAAACCAGGCTTAGTTAATTTATCCTGGGGTTTTGGCTCTCCCTAAATCAGCAGCCTACCTGCACATTTCTATATATCAAACCCAAATGAAACACACAGAAGAGCTGAGTTCCATGCACTAATTCAAGAAGCAGCCTGGCTGAAGGGATGTCAAATTAAAATGCCACCTTCCCCCACCTCCCCCTTTTACCCAGCTCCCCCATTCCAGCAGCAAACTGGAGCACAGCCAGCCTCCCATAACACAGAGTAGGGTGTGCAGGAGCCAGGGCAATACATGGACCCAGGCTGCAGGACAGGCACGCACAGCCGAAATGCAAAACCCCCGTCCCCTTCATCCACTTGCTTTGTGTGGGTGAGGAGCTGTCGTGCGTGACAGATGAAAGCTGCAAAGCAGGCAGGACAATGCTGTGGTGAGGGTCAGTGCTATTTTGATGGCTGCAAGATGCTCTAATTATAGTGTTGGGAGGGCTGGAAGCTGCCAGATTTGATACGGGAATAATGTGGCACAAGAGTTGTGGAGTAAAGACACTTGTTGTTTTGTTCTTGGTTGCTTCCCTCAGGGACAAAGCCTTTGAGGAAGGAAAAGCAACTTTAAGGTTGTAATTGAGCCCCAGGAATTCTGAACATATATAAAATTAGACACAGAAAAAAAATCAAGGCAGCCTCATGTTTATTGCACTGGCTCCGTCTCCTGTGCTTTTGGCACTGTGGTTTTTCAGCTGAGCTTCAGCCAGTTGACTGGGCTGTTAAATATCCTTCACCAGGATAAACAGCTGAGGAAGCCCTGCAGCTCACTTGAGCACAGAGCCTTTGGTGGGTGTTGCTCTTTGAGAGGGTTCAGGCAAGTACATGGCTTTATATACGCTGCAATATTCCTCTCTGCTACCTGCTCCATATCTGCTCTGCCTCACTGCAAAACTTTTGCAGGGTTGCTCTTCAGTGTTACAGGATTTATAGCAGAATTTCCTACAGTTTTTATGCTCTAATTATTCTTGGCACGCTCTCCCTGGATAGTTGTGAGATACGCAGTCCACAGAAGACTTTGGTTGATGCATTTCAGAGTATTCACCTGCCCCGGGTAGCAGTGGATTTTATGGGACGTGGGATGATTAGCAATCAGTTGACCCCAGCACTGAGCTCTGCTGCTGGCTTCCTGCATGATCTTGGGCATTGCCTCAGTTTCCCCTTCTGACAGTTGGGAGAAACAGCACACAGCCAGTTGGGTGAAGCACTTTTGGAGACTTTGATGAACACAGTAATCAGAAATGACAAATGGATTCCTCACTATTCCTAATGAATAGGAATAGGGACCTCCTGGGACTACTGCCCACTCCTTGCCTGCACCAGCTTTCCCCATCCCTTACTGCTCCAGGGTCTCCCAAACTGCTTTAGAGATCCTCATGCCCCCATGACATATCTCCATCTTTCCTGTGCTTCTGCAACCTGTCTTCCAACTAACTTTTTCTGAAGCTC